GTGAGTCGTAGGGCAGTTAGTTGTAGTGGTGGTTTGCCATAGGGCAGTTCGTTGTAGTAGTGGTCATCATATAACAATTCGCCGTAGTGGTGAGTATTGTAGAGTCGTTCGTTGTAGTGGTGGTTGTCGTAGAGCCGTTCGTTGTAGTGGTCGTCGTCGTAGGGCAGTTCGTTGCAGTGGTGGTTGTCGTAGGACAGTTAGTTGTGTAGTGGTTGTCGTAGAGCCGTTCGTTGTAGGGGTGGTTGTCGTCGGGCAGTTGGTTGTAGTAGGTTGATGTTGCAGGGGAGACAGTTGTATTGTGTGCTCGGCCATTTTGAATACCCAATCCCTACAGTTTAGCGATGAGTGCCACATCCAGCTGTACATCATCCTCTGTCGAGTCACTACACCCTGTCGACCGCGAAATCCAGCGTCGGAACCTGGTTCGAAGCTCCTCCTCCAGCGGCCAGAGTGGAGCTAGCTCACTATTCGTCAACTCCTCCAACGTGAATCAAAATGACGAGGGGCCCGGGCACGAGGCTGTTACAGGTCGAGACGTGGAAGAAGCGGTCTCATCGTCAACTTCAATTCGTAGAAAAACGATCTTGTATCTACCAGTGGGAGGGAAATTCACTTCGCAAGAAGAAGCTCATGGCTCACTATGCTCTGTGGCCGGACACAATATGACGAGCAAGGGGACATACTTCACCAAAGACGGCACGCTCGTATGTCGGTATGCGTGCTGCTTCGGCCCTGGACGAAAGAATGGGTATAACTGTCCATTCACAGCCCAGCTGACGCGCAAAGCATCACAGTGGCAAATTCGCTTACCGCAGGCCCCTCATGATGCTCATGAGCATAAGCTCGCCCCTGGTCACAAAGGAACGCCGCCTATGATTCTCTCCGCGGCGGCTAGGAAACTTGTCGTAGATCAGCTGCGGGATGGGGCGAAGGCTCGTGGTACTGCGAGATCACTGAGAGACAGAGGACTACTCGGGGCGAGCGGTGAGTCAAGTTCCAAAGTTATGAACGCCATCTACAAACTGCGTACTGTTGCTAAAAAAAAGCGAGGAGAGGCGATCTTGGGTACGGGTTCCACAGTGGCGTCCATTCGGGCTTTCTGTGAGGCTAACAACAAAGTGCCAGACGATGAGAATCAACCGTACTGTTTGGCGTTTGATATCAAAATCGGCAGTTCCTTCTACTTCGTATTCTCGTGCACGAGGTTGCTGAGGGAAGGAACGAAGCACCAAACACTCACTTGTGATTATACATCAGCACCCAGCTGGTTAGGGATGCCACTGCTGGTGATGGGAAGCCTCGATTGGAGAGGCCACTTCAGACCGATCGCCTTCGCATTAACCAGCCATCAAACCCAGGATGATGTCGCATCCGTCTTCTGCTGCGTGGCGCGATCGGCTGAGAAGATACACGGTCCTTTCGTACCAAGCGTACTTGTCGCCGATGCTGCGGAATGTTTTACGAATGCTTATAAGCAGGTATTATAATATATTGTAATAGTCGCATAGTAATAATCGTATAATAATAATCGTATAGTAGTAGTCCTATAGTAATAATCGTATATAGTAGTCGTATAGTAATAATTGTATAGTAGTAGTCCTATAGTAATAATGGTATAGTAGTAGTCGTATAGTAATAATCGTATAGTAGTAGTCGTATAGTAATAATCGTATAGTAGTAGTCGTACAGAAATAATCGTATAGTAGTCGTCGTATAGTAATAATCGTATACTAGTAGTCGTATAGTAATAATCGTATAGTAGTAGTCGTATAGTAATAATCGTATAGTAGTAGTCGTATAGTAATAATCGTATAGTAGTAGTCGTATAGTAATAATCGTATAGTAGTAGTCGTCTAGTAATAATAATCGTATAGTAGTAGTCGTATAGTAATAATCGTATAGTAGTAGTCGTATAGTAATAATCGTATAGCAATAATCGCATAGTAACGTAGCGGTGCAATCATAAAATAATTCAGGTATTCGGCGACTTGAGTCCGACGGGGCTGAGGCGTGACTTACGTTGGGAGTACGGCTCATTCAATCGGGGAACTAGGCTCTATTGCTGGGTTCACATGTTGCGGGCGGTCCGAGGGTGGCTCCCTACCTACATCAACAAGACCACAGAGGGCTCTGTTGCAGCCGCTCAGGTGAAACGCGGTGAATTTTATAGGGATATCAAGGTCCTTCATTGCTGCGGGAGTGATAAACTATTCGAAGACGGAGTGGAACTATTCGTGGCGAAATGGAAAGCAACCCACCCCCACCTCATCGAGAAGTTCAGCAAAACCTGGCTTCTGAAGACGGCCACTTGGTATACAGGCGCCCACTCTATCCCGGGGTGGGTGCCTCGTCATAGCTGTGCTGTGGAAGGAGTTAATTCAAGTCTGAAAGAAGGTGAGCGCAATAAGAAATTCATAATCTGGGTGAATACATTTTGTAGATTAAGAGAGTACTTAGAATCACGTGGACAATTCTAGATTTTAGGAGGCCTATATCTAAATCTTTCAGAAATCTATGTGGCGGATGAGGGAACCGATTTCATGATTAAGGAATGCAGTTTTACGGACAGGGACATCATCGAAACTCTCACCCAGAATTGATGTTGTTGTCCGTGAAATTGCATTTCGCAATTTTCTTGATTTTTCCATCCCATCCCCACCGCCGAATAGATTTCTGAAAGATATAAAAGTATGCTCATTCAGAAGTATTGGCATCATGCCGACGGCATAGCAAAATACTTATACCTATATTTCTTCGCACCTGGTAGAATCGAAAATGAAATCCGCGAAAA